TTTCCTGCTTAGAAAGTCGTCTTATACGAAGGAAAATACGGGTACTTTATACGTTAACTAGGAATCTTGTGCTTTCTACCCAGCATTGGCTCTCTTCAGGTATTATGAAGTGGCTTAAACAAACAGATGAGAAGGATCCAATCAAAAATCCACCAAATAGTGATCCCTTTATTGGCCAACCAAAATGCGCAATATATATGTTGCAAGCTTTCGAAGTTTCATTGAGGCTTCTTCATCAGGCGAGGTGTTACAAACCAAACAGGAGAAAAAAATTGAAGATATTAGTCATAGGCCTGCATTTTGCATATGATGAGGAGGATGAGTCTTTTGCAACCCCCCTCCATCCAACATCACTCTCTTCATATGAAAAGCAACACTTAAAAGGGGAACCTCCTCTATCTATGGTGAAAGCCATTTGGAGTGGAGGGTTCCAAATAACATGAAGATTCTCCATGGATAGAGAAGGCTCTTCTTTCCAGAATATGGCTCTTCATGTGAAGAGGACAACGTTGGACGTTGCCTGGACTAGAACATAGGTTAAGAAGGTTGTTCTCTCACACAGTTGAGACAGGTGATGTAGAGCAGGGGTCCCCGGACTTTTTGATCCAGGGGCTGGTTCACTGGCCCCCAGATCTTCTGGGGGGGCTGGAGGCACGGAAGACAAAATGGAGTCCAGAGTCATGCGCATGTGCGCGGCTCCGGGTGCCATTTTGGAAGACAAAATGGCGCCCGAGTAGTGCGCATGTGCGCCCACTGCCGGGCGCCATTTTGTCTTCCAAAATGGCACCTGGAGTCGTGCGCATGCACGTGCAACGCCGGGTGCATGCGCATGACTCTGGACACCATTTTGGAAGTCAAAATGGCGTCCGGCGGCAGGCGCAAGTGGCGGCAGCGGGCCAGTAGGAAGGCGTTGGTGGGCTGGCTCTGGCCCGCAGACCATAGTTTGGGGACCCTTGATGTAGAGAGAGAGGGCTAGAGCATTCTCTGTCCTCACGTGTTTATTTAATGCACTTCATAACACCGAATTAAGCTACTGTCTTTGAGATATTCCAGAATAGGAAGTCTGATGGATTATATTCTCTATCCATAGAATTGGATTTGTTGTTGGTGTGTGCCTCCAAGTCATTCTTGACATATGGCAACCCTAAGGTAACTCTATCAGAGGGTTTTCTTGGCAAATTTCTTCAGAGGGGGTTTGCCATTGCCATTCTCTGAGGCTGAGAGAATGTGACTGACCTAAGGTCACCTAGTAGATTTTTAAGCTCAAGCAGGGAATTGAACTCTCATCTCCAGAGTCGTAGTCTAATGCCCAAACCACTGCACCACACTGGCTGTCGTCAGACCTCTTTTAACAAATTCCATACACCGTGACCCCATGAATTCTGAAGGTTATAAAAAGATATAAGGGAATCCTGTAAAATCTTTGAGACTAATTGAGAAAAAGACATTTCTACCAAAAGCTTTTGTGTCCTCCTCCCAATGTGGTGTCTGCTGCTTTGTGGTCTACTTTTTCCTTTAATTTCATAGTCTCTAAAATGGGAATAATACTGGATTAACTCAAAAGTTGTGAAGCTCTCCATAGGAAAGTCACTTTCAGAGTAGCTGTAAGGATAAAATTGATATGATATGAAATTTCCTTTTATGCTACCTTGAAAGGAAATTCACAATATACCATATTTTCCAGCGTATAAGATGACTTTTTAACCCAGGAAAATCTGGGTTAAAGTCAGGGGTCGTTTTATATGCCAGGTATAAGGAGGAGGAGGAGGAGGAGGAGGACAGAGGTGGGGGCAGGAAGAAGCCTTGGGAAAAGAAGAGGACGAGAGGAACCCTAAGGCAATCCTCTCCTGGGGTTTTCTTGGCAAGACTGGTTCAGAGATGGTTTGCCATTGCCTTCCCCTGAGGCTGAGAGTGTGTGACTTCTCCAGGTCCACCCAGTAGGTTTCATGGCAGAATGGGGAATCAAACCCAGCTCTCCAGAGTAGTAGTCCAACACTCATACCACTACACCATGCTGGCTCCTATTCCCATGTACTACCTATGAAACATTTGCAGACCTTTTTGTTGTTCTTGTGTGTCTTCAAGTCCTTTCCGACTTATGGCGACCCTAAGGCAACCTTATCATGGGGTTTTCTTGGCATGTTTCTTCAAATGGGGGTTGCCATTACCATCCTCTGAGGCTGAGAGTGTGTGACATGCCCAGAATGCAAATTGTACATACCCCAGAATGCATCACCTAATATATTGGCAGTCCTTCCCCCCAACACTTTCTCATTTCCCCCCAACCATCTCATAGCTGGGAGATGGAAATAATTTTTAAAGCAACATTTAAATCTAGACTATTTTTAAAAAAATAAGATCCAAAACACACTGCAGAAATAAATGCTAGGGAACATGGGAGATGTAGTTTCTTGTGTTTATTAGTGACAGTTTTCCTGCTAGGTACCTGCATGTCATAACCATTTGAATTAAAATTACCATATTGAAATCAAATCAGATGTTTTTTTACATTTTTATTTGGTATGCGTTGAAAGAGGGGTAGTCTTATACGGCGAGTATATCCCAAACGCTATATTTTAACAGGAAATGTTGGGGATTTTCTTATACGCCTAGTCATCTTATACGCCGGAAAATACAGTACACTTAATAAATAAATATATTTATAGACCTTGGTGCTTAATGTTCACAACAGATACAAAATTGTTGGTGTTCAGTTGAAAGACTATCTAAAGGCTGTGACAGAGATGTACAAAGAAAGGCTTTCAAAAACATGAATGTTTTCATGAATAGCTTCTCTTATTTCCATAACTTCTTCCCCCCCATTCCTATTTGTGCTATTGAGATGTTTTGAGGCCTGAATTGTCCACTTGCAAAGGGAGGGGGCAAGTGTTTGAAACAACTTTTCTTTTTGAAAGTTTAAGCAATATCTTTCTTCATAACTTACCATTTGGAATGGTGATTGAGAACATCCTGTTCCCATGTGGAATATGTTTATTGTGGAATGCAGCTAGTAGGTTTATAGCATTTTGACAGTCATACAGCCATTCTTTGTGGTTTTAGGTTTTCATATTTTATAACATATTAGGTTATAGTGTATTAGAGAAGATCTTGTTCCTGTCTATTTCATACCTTGGAAGCTGGACGGGTGCATGCGTGTGCAAGGATATACAGTTTTAGTTTGTAGGCTTTGTTTCCTTGAAAATGAGAATGTCAGTTTAGATCTTAACAAAGACAAAATGGACGTCAAAAAATGAAGGATTATTTCTATATAGTTTTATAAAACTTAGATGTGAAAAAGGAAGCCCTAGCAATTAAAGTTACTAGATTGAATGAAAAACTGCCATGAACTGTACTTCATACAGAGAGAAAACAATGATGTCCATCTGGATATGTATTCATTCACAACCAGTTTACATTCACATCTAGGATGGAGCTGAATTTACAGAACAGCATCCTTGGACCTGTTGCCTTCTAGATATGTTGGACTACAGCTTCTTCCTCCATTGGAATTGCTATACTGGTTAGAGATGGCAGGAGTTGTCAACCAACACACTTGGAGGGCACCAGGGAAAGGATGTTATACAAAAGTGATGCAAGACGTCTCCCTTAAACAACAATTCCAAGTTTCCTACAGTGTTAGTAGATGTTTTCTGGAAGAAGGAGAGGAGTCATGGAGAAGCTTGTTTTCTGCTAATCAGAGACTGGAACACAAACCAGTGGATTCAAATTAGAAGGAAAGGGATTCCACCTAAACATTAGGAAGAGCTTCTTTACTATAAGAACCAGGGCTGTAGAGTCAGTCTGCCAATCCTTCTACTTCTGTTCCAACTTATTTTTCTACTGTCCTTCTCCTTCATAAATGGCAAATATATATTAATTAGTGGTACCAAATTTACTGTAATAAAATGGTGTTGTTGTTAACTGCCTTCGAGTTGACGTCAACTCATGGTGACCCTGTAGATAAGACATTTCCAAGACCTTCTGTTCTTAAACTTTATGCTCAGATCCTGCAGGCCCTCCCTGATCAACCATCTGGCATGTGGTCTTCCACTTTTTCTTACTGCCTTCCACATTTCCTAGCATCATTGCCTTTTCTAATTAATTCATTTTCCTCATGATGTGGCCATAGTACAACAGCCTCAGTTTAGTCATCCTGGCTTCCAGGGATAGTTTAGGCTTGATGTGTTCTAGAACCCATTTGTATGTCTTTGGGGCTAAGCAGACCAGCAAAAAGAACCAGCGTCTTGGGGGCATGGCAGCTGCCCGCCGCCCGCCCTAACTACGCCCCCAAAGTGGCATCATGGCGCCCACCTACCCAAACAGAGAGCAATATGGGAACTCTCCTGTGGCGCAGCAATTACACACTGGACACCACAGGAGTGGAGAAAAACCACAACAGCAGTGAAAGGGGTGCCTTTTTTCCAGCATAAAAAGGAGTGGCATTTTGCTGCATCTTTTGTGCTGGAAAAACACTGGATCGGGGTCGCAGCACGTGGTTGCCATGGCTCTGATCCATCAAGCAAAGGGGTGGCACAGAGCCACTCCTTTGGGCTAGTCTGTTCTGCCTCTTCCTGGCCATCTTCAAATATACTCAGCACTCTTCTCCAGCACTACATCTGAAATGAGTTGATTTCTTTCTATTGGCTTTTTTCAGTTCTCACATCTGTACATGATGATGGGGAATACAATGGCTTGGACAATCCTTACTTTAGTGTTCAGAATTATAGCTTTACACTTTATGATCTTGTCTAGTTCTTTCATAGCTGCCCTTCCCATTCCTAGTTGTCTTATTTTTTGACTGCAGTCACTGTTCCGATCAATATTTGATCCAAAATATGGGAACTCTTTGACTGTTTCAATGCCCTCCTTATCTAGGGTGAATTCTTGTAGATCTTCAGTGGTCATTATTTTCTTACTGTTTAACAGTAAGCCTACCTTGGCAAATTCCTCCTTGATTTTCTTCAGTAATTGCTCCAGGTCTTCACTCCTCCTGCCTCTAAGCCTGTTCTGCATATTATATTTTCTGCATACAGGTTGAATAAATAGGGTGATAGTATGCAGCCTTGCCTTACCCCTTTGCCAGTTGGGAACCATTCTGTTTCTCTGCACATTCAGTTCTGATGGTAAAATGGAAGCACAAGACATTTCACCATCAGCATGTGAAGCTACTTGGATGGATAGAACATAAATATATATTTGTTTGATTAAAATTTCTGAAGAAAACTTTTTTAAAAAATGTTATTGATTAAAAACATAAATACATAACATATAAACATTTTACAATCGTGCAATTTCTAATTGACAACAACTACCTACATACATGCACATCTCACT